GGAAACCATAACCTCCTGATCGCTATGGACTGTTTTACTAAGTGGCCGAAAGGCTACGCCATTCCAAATAAAGTGGTTTCGGCAGTGGCAAAAGAACGAGTTACCAACTTCTCCGGTCGCATCGGAGTACTACTGGAACATTGACCAGGGCCGTAACTTCAGGTCTCGTCTGATACAGAATGTTTACAACGCTTTGGTATGCGTAAGGCACACACCACATCCCTTCACCCGCAATCGGTCAGCATGGTCGAGCGCTACATGTAAACGGCCGCGGAACGCCTACGAAAGGTCGTCGCATCGCACCAGAGGGATTGGGACTCAAGACTACCCATCTTCCCTGCTTTCAGGCATCAACTCACGACACTACGGGCTTGACCCCGACTGGCTAGGTGTTCGGAAGAGAACTTCAGTTGACCTGCGACCTGTTTTTGGGGCACCTCTCGACAAGGAATGACCCACAACAGGTCACATGGCAAACTCAGTGGACCACCTGCATGACATCCACAATTATGTCCGCCAACACCTGAAGCTTGCCAGTGAGCGGATGAAAACTCGTTACGACAGACTGGCAAATTGCACGGGCTACCATGAGGGCGGCAAAGTGTGGCGCTATCGCCGAACCTGCACGAAGGGGAAAATTCAGCCCTTCTGTTTAATAATCTCATAGATAACTAAGCATGTGCCTGCTAACGCTTTCGATAGGCCGTGGAGGACACTCTTATCCTTCACTAGCATCTTGTTTCCTGTTTCAAGTTTTGGAAAAAATACTCGTCGGTTATAATTTCTTTTGTTTTCTAATTTCGCAAGGGCACGCGGTAGCGTAGTTCGTTGAGGCACTATTCTACAAGCTGGAAGTTAGTGGGTACTATTCCCGATTAGGTGGATTTTTCAATTGACATAATCCTTTCAGCCGCACTATGTCCATGGGGACGACTCTGCCTCTAACAGAAATGAGTGCCAGGAATCTTCCTGGGGGTTAATGGGCGGCCGATGCATAAGGCCGACAACATTACCGCCATCTATGAACCGATTTTGAGAAAATATGGTAGGCTTGACGTCTCACAACTCTATCGGACTCCACGGCCTGGTACACGGATTACTTTACCTTATTTAATTTGGCTGTTTCCTAAGTTCAACGCGTCATTGCATAGCTGCTCTCTAGCTTCGTACTCTCTCACCGGTTCTCTCTGTAGCATTCCTAGTTAGCAACCTTCCGAACACTAGTTGAAATGGCATATTTTTTTTTATTGCTAGTGGAGTGGGATTAAGTCCTTTGTACTGCGGCCAATTCTGGCCTATTGTGAAGAATTACCGTCCTGTAATCGAACTTATAATGGAATGTTAACTGTAGTACAGCACACACAAAGTCTTGAAAGCACACAATAAGTCTTCCACTCCCTGACTTCTTAGTTATCGCACACTGTCACATAAAATCTTGTAACCACGCGTTCAAGTCTTCTTACCGCGACTGCTGCTATATTTCAACTCAACTCGTAGGCAGTGTGGTTCACTTATATAGTCGCAGCGTTTGCCTGTTACGTAATCGGTACTGCTGTTGGCTGGCGGCTAGTCGACAGCGGCGTTGCGTGCCATGTCACAGTGCGGAGGAGGTGGGGAACGGAGCGCTGATTCAACCGCCACGTCACTGCTGGGTAGGGAGGGGTTCTCCGTTGCGCAACATGTCACACTGCTCCCTCCTTAAGGCTGTTCGTCCCGAATAGCCTAACGGTGCATCCCCGTTCCTTTTCTTTCCCGTAGCTGTGCTTGCAGTGTCTCCTGTTGTTTCGGATACTCTTCTTGCAGCGACTGTTCTTCGTCCATTACATCCGCTCCCCTCTTAAGACAAAGCTCGTCTCGAGCGGATCCCTTTTAGCTTGCCAGAAGATCCAGTTCTATCACACTCATTCGTCGCACATTCAATCTTACTCGGGAGGACGGTTCTTCTACATTACCGGTTCCTCCTCTATTTGGAGTCTTTTCCGCTTTGGTGGGGGTCTACCCCTCCATAAGTTCCAATTCTTGATCCTTAATTTCCTCAGAAGTTTCTAACATCGACGTAACAGCACTGAAGTGTGGTTTGAACTTGCTGACGTCGTCGTTCGTTGTTTTTCTCGCCAATTGCTGGTACGAGACCGTGGCGCCAAGTCCTTTCTCCGGTATCTGAAGGTTCCCTTGGGAGTTTCCTTCTTGAAGGCATTTCTCCAACGTCGTGCCACTTGCGTGACGGGATATCTTCCAGGTTACTTGTTCCACATTGTCTGATTTTTCCCATACACCTGTGCCCTGCACAGAGTGTAATCATTCCGGTAGCGGTCACTTATTTCCGCGGTCCACACGTTCTGTGGGTCGAAGATTTCCTGAAGCAATTCCTCTTGAGACATGCCACTGTTGCGCGGCGGGACACCTTCCTGCAGGCGGCGGCCAACATCCGGGATCCAGAAATCCCTCCGGGAACTTCCCGTGGCTCTCCACGCCACCCTGCAGCTTCTTGCCCCTATACCGTTTCTTCCGTCCCTTGACCGGTTTCACTACGGCTCAGCTCAGCGCGTCAGCTCCCGGGGGGGTGTCCAGCTAGCGCGACAAGTCACACAGGGTAGGGAGGGGTTCCCCGTTGCGCAACATGTCACAATACATATATGTTCCAGTTGAGATTAGTTATCTGCCTGAAAGTATATCTTGAAATATTGAGTGAGATAGTGCAAGTGGTAGGCTTCAATGTGTATATTTTCCTGGACCGAGTAATGGCGAGTGCAAGAAATTTGGCAAACTTGTGTTTCCTCTGTTCCACAACGAAATGGAAGTGTTTTACATCTGAACCATGAAGCTGAAGTACGTGAGAAGGAAGAATACACCATAAAGTACATTTATTGATTTAACGAAAGTAAGTGCATATAAGAATAGTGGGTGTGTAGTGAAAGACAGTGTGTCTTTGGAGTTATTCTCGCAGTGTTATTACTTATCTCGTGTGAAGTATGTGCAGTGATTTGCACAAAATGTGGGTTAGTGTTTATATGGACAGAGAGTGAATTAGATTTTATTAGTTCATATTCGGTATGACAGAAAAGAGGGTGTAGTTTTGGAATGTAGCCTCTGAATATGACAGGAGTGAGTATATTATTAGTCAGAATAATATACTTTTTTTTGCATTAGTATAAGTACTTGTAAGAAAGGGGGTGCATAGTGAATTTCTAGTTCCCATTGAAGAATTTATTTTTTGAATTTATTTCTTAGTTCTGTATGACAGTGTAGTGGATATAAAGTATGTTATTTTGGTCACAATAATGTCGAGTGTAAAGCGAAGTTTAAATTCTGTAGTGTGACGTTATATTTTTGTGTGCGATATATACAGTGATGTGTAGTGAGGTTTTGTAGTGTTTGCGAATGTTAAGATTTGAATTCACGCACAGTGGATTCGGAAGTCTCCACTTGTATGTACATATCTTGTTTGAATGGAGAATTCTTCTTATAACAAGGCGGTATGGTAAGTGAAAGACATGTTGTCATTGGTGTTATGCTGGAAGTCGTGTTCAGTGACAGTGTAAAATGTGCACAGTGGTGTGTAAAGTATGTGTTATAGCATTAAGAATGATGGGAAGTGATTTGAAAGTTAGATGTGTATTTCGGTGTGATAGACAACTGATTGCATTCTTGGCATCTGATCTTCGAGGCTTACATGTGGTAGCAGGTAGTATACAGCATGAGGGAATTATTTTATTTTCATCTGTTAAATTTTTTTAAAAATGACATTGTTTACAGGAAAGCACGATTTGTTACAGCTGACATTCTTGTAATTGTAATTTATAGCTTAGTCGAGAACATATATAGTGATGTGTTGGTTTCTTTAGGAGGTTGTTGAAGGATATTTTCTTAGGTTGAGATCGTAATCAGTTATTTCCCTATCGAATATATGAGCACTTGTATTGTGGAGTGGATACGTTTAATATAGAGTATATGTATATCCTTCACATTTGTCGAAAAACATAATAAAATTAATAATGGAGAAATTTGAAAAGAGAATATTTCGGGAACTGTTGGAACTTGTAATAGTCAATCACGACAATTTTGATATCATGCACTTGGGAGCGTTCTGCAAAGTCAATATTTCGAAAAAACGCATTTACGACCATTATAATTATCGAAATATATGGCAGGTTTAATAGATTACGTGGTTAGAATAACAGAAAAATATATGCAAGAGTTTATCATGTGAAAAAATTCGGAAATATAATGTCCCATATAAATAAATAATGATTTCACACGCCATCAGAGACATTCAATCGTAAGATATTGCCGACGGCTAAACCGTGCTGAAGTGATCATAATTATGCGCAGTAGTAATTTTCGCACACCTATCATAATGTACACTCACAACGTAACATCAGTGTAAATTACCGAGCTTCGCCCACTCCAAGATAGATATGGATGCGCAGTAGTCTCCTGCGCAAACCTAACCTAACCTAACCTAACCTAACCCAATCTAACATCAGCGAATGGTACCCAAGTGTACCCCCTGAGATACAGTTGGATGCGCAGTAGTTCACTGCCACACCTAAGAGTGACGTCATTTACGAAGGTGATATTTCACCGAACGTTATTCAGGACTGTCGTAACATGGAATATAATTCGAAATATGACGTTATATATAAAATTGACTGTGTGGACTGTTTTTCCTCCCATAATATGGATCTGTGCTCTTATATTCCGATGCAATTTTGCTACGTGATAGCTTAGATTGTGTCGAAATCGCCGCTCCCACCTCACGAGTTTGAGATTCCCCCACGGTGATACAAAAGACTACTGAGTATTACATATCATGGCATTATGCTTCCCTCCAATGGCACAACATTATGACGGAAAATCTTTTTTATCAGTGAAGTCGTTCCCTTCTTTGTCGTGGATTGATACGCGACCAATTGTGTGACTGCTTGGCATATGTTTCGCCCGAATTTCCCTTCTGAATAGGAAGTAGAATATAAATTGTAAACGAAAATGGGTAACAAATAGTTTGAAAAATTACCGCCCTGTAATGGAACTGATAATGGAATATTTCTGTTTCAGTCATGTTAAGCGGTTGGCTGCCCTGTCACTGTGACGTAAATATCCGGTGTACAAGATGAAGGTAGGTTTCTTTCCTGGTATGAAGATGTGTTTATAAATAATAAGACGGTGTTTTTGTGTATGTTTGTATACATATATGTTCTAGTTGTGATTAATTATCTGCCTGAAGGTATAACTTGAAATATTCAGTGAGATAGTGGAAATGGTAGGTTTAAGTGGACCGAGTAATGGCGAATGCACCAAATTTGACAAACTTGTGTTTCCTCTGTTCCACAACGAAATGGAAGTGTTTTCCGTCTGAACCATGAANATAGTGCAAATGGTAGGCTTCAATGTATATATTTTCCTGGACCGAGTAATGGCAAGTGCAACAAATTTGGCAAACTTGTGTTTCCTCTGTTACACAACGGAATGGAAGTGTTTTACATCTGAACCATGAAGCTGGAGTACGTGTGAAGGAAGAATACACCATAAAGTACATTTATTGATTTAACGAAAGTAAGTGCATATAAGAATAGTGGGTGTGTAGTGAAAGACAGTGTGTGTTTGAGGATATTTTTGCACTGTTATTAATAATCTCTTGTGAAGTGTGTACGGTGATTTGCATAAAGTGTGTTTTAGTGGTAATATGGATAGAGAGTGAATTTAGATATTATAAGTGCATATTTGGTATGACAGAAAAGAGGTAGTAGTATTGGTAGGTAGCCCTGAATATGACAAGTGGCAGTTTATTATTAGTCAGAATGATATACTGTTATTTGCATTAGTACAAGTACTTGTGAGAAGAGGGTGCAAAGTGAATTTCTAGTTCCCATTGAAGAATTAATTTTTTGAATTTATTTGTTAGTTCTGTGTGACAGCGTGGTGGGTATAAAGTATGTTGTTTTGTTCACAATAATGTGGAGTGTAAAGCGAAGTTTAAATTCTGTAGTGTGACGTTATATTTTTGTGTGCGATATATACAGTGATGTGAAGTGAGGTTTTGTAGCGTTTGAGAATGTTAAGATTTCAATTCACGCACAATGGATTTGGAAGTCTCCACTTGTATGTACATATCTTGTTTGATTGGAGAATTCTTCTTATAACAAGGCGGTATGGTAAGTGAAAGACATGTTGTCATTGGTGTTATGCTGGAAGTCGTGTTCAGTGACAGTGTAAAATGTGCACAGTGGTGTGTAAAGTATGTGTTATAGCATTAAGAATGATGGGAAGTGATTTGAAAGTTAGATGTGTATTTCGGTGTGATAGACAACTGATTGCATTCTTGGCATCTGATCTTCGAGGCTTACATGTGGTAGCAGGTAGTATACAGCTTGAGGGAAATATTTTATTTCCGTCTGTTAAACTGCTTTAAAAATGGCATTGTTTACAGGAAAGCACGATTTGTTACAGCTGCCATTCTTGTAATTGTAATTTATAGCTTAGTCGATAACATATATAGTGATGTGTTGGTTTCTTGTTTTAATGCATAGGAGGTTGAGGAAGGATATTTTCTTTGGTTGAGATCGTAATCTGTGATTTCCCTATCGAATATTTGAGCACTGGTATTGTGGAGTGGATACGTTTAATACAGAGTATATGTATATCCTAGATATTTGTCGAGAAACACAATAAGATTAATATTGGAAACATTTGAAAAGAGAATATTTCGGGAACTGTTGGAAGTTGTAAGAGTCACTTAAGATAATTTTGATATGCACTTGGGAGCGTTCTGAAATGTCAATATTTCGGAGAAAATGCATTTACGACCATTATAAATATCGAAATATATGCCAGGTTTAATAGTTTACGTAGTTAGAATAACAGAAACATATATGCAAGTGTTTATGATGTGAGAAATTTTGGGAAATAAAATGTCCCTTATAAATAAATAATGATTTGATACGCTATCAGAGACATTCAATCGTAAGATATTGGCGACGGCTAAACCGTGCTCAAGTGACCATAATCATGCGCAGTAGTCATTTGCGCACACCTATCATAATGTACACTCACAACCTAACAACAGTGTAAGTTACCGAGCTTCGCCCCCTCCATGATAGATATGGATGCGTATTAGTCTAATGCGCAAACCTAACCTAACCTAACCCAACCTAACATCAGCGAATGGTACCCAAGGGTACCCCCTGAGATACAGTTGGATGCGCAGTAGTTCATTGCGCACACCTAAGAGTGACGTCATTTACGAAGGTGCTATTTCACCGAACGTAATACAGGACTGTCGTAACTTGGAATATAATTCGAAATATGACGTTATGTATAAAATTGAGTGTGTGGACTGTTTTTCCACCCATAATATCAATCTGTGCTCTTATATTCCGATTCTATGTTGCTACGCGACATCGTAGATTGTGTCCAAAACGCCGCTCCCACCTCACGAGTTTGCGATTCCCCCACAGTGATACAAAAGACTACTGAGTATTACATATTATGGCATTATGCTGCCCTCCAATGGCAGAACGTTATGACGAAAAATCTTTATTATCTGTGAAATCGTTCCCTCCTTTGTCGTGGATTGATACGCGACGAATAGAGTGACTGCTTGGCATATGTTTCGCCCGAATTTCCCTTCTGAATAGGAAGTAGAATATGAATTATACAGGAAAGTGGGTATAAAATATTTGAAAAATTACCGCCCTGTAATGGAACTGATATTGGAATATATCTGTTTCAGTCATGTTAAGCGGTTGTCTGCCCTGTCACTGTGACGTAAATATCCGGTGTACAACATGAAGGTAGGTTTCTTTCGTAGTATGAAGTTTTGTTTATAAATAATAAGACGGTGTTATATGTGTATGTTTATATACATATATATATGTTCCAGTTGTGATTAGTTATCTGTCTGAATGTATATCTTGAAATATTCAGTGACATAGTGCAAATGGTAGGCTTCAATGTATATATTTTCCTGGACCGAGTAATGGCAAGTGCAACAAATTTGGCAAACTTGTGTTTCCTCTGTTACACAACGGAATGGAAGTGTTTTACATCTGAACCATGAAGCTGGAGTACGTGTGAAGGAAGAATACACCATAAAGTACATTTATTGATTTAACGAAAGTAAGTGCATATAAGAATAGTGGGTGTGTAGTGAAAGACAGTGTGTGTTTGAGGATATTTTTGCACTGTTATTAATAATCTCTTGTGAAGTGTGTACGGTGATTTGCATAAAGTGTGTTTTAGTGGTAATATGGATAGAGAGTGAATTTAGATATTATAAGTGCATATTTGGTATGACAGAAAAGAGGTAGTAGTATTGGTAGGTAGCCCTGAATATGACAAGTGGCAGTTTATTATTAGTCAGAATGATATACTGTTATTTGCATTAGTACAAGTACTTGTGAGAAGAGGGTGCAAAGTGAATTTCTAGTTCCCATTGAAGAATTAATTTTTTGAATTTATTTGTTAGTTCTGTGTGACAGCGTGGTGGGTATAAAGTATGTTGTTTTGGTCACAATAATGTGGAGTGTAAAGCGAAGTTTAAATTCTGTAGTGTGACGTTATATTTTTGTGTGCGATATATACAGTGATGTGCAGTGAGGTTTTGTAGTGTTTGAGAATGTTAAGCTTTGAATTCACGCACAATGGATTCGGAAGTCTCCACTTGTATGTACATATCTTGTTTGAATGGAGAATTCTTCTTATAACAAGGCGGTATGGTAAGTGAAAGACATGTTGTCATTGGTGTTATGCTGGAAGTCGTGTTCAGTGACAGTGTAAAATGTGCACAGTGGTGTGTAAAGTATGTGTTATAGCATTAAGAATGATGGGAAGTGATTTGAAAGTTAGATGTGTATTTCGGTGTGATAGACAACTGATTGCATTCTTGGCATCTGATCTTCGAGGCTTACATGTGGTAGCAGGTAGTATACAGCTTGAGGGAAATATTTTATTTCCGTCTGTTAAACTGCTTTAAAAATGGCATTGTTTACAGGAAAGCACGATTTGTTACAGCTGCCATTCTTGTAATTGTAATTTATAGCTTAGTCGATAACATATATAGTGATGTGTTGGTTTCTTGTTTTAATGCATAGGAGGTTGAGGAAGGATATTTTCTTTGGTTGAGATCGTAATCTGTGATTTCCCTATCGAATATTTGAGCACTGGTATTGTGGAGTGGATACGTTTAATACAGAGTATATGTATATCCTAGATATTTGTCGAGAAACACAATAAGATTAATATTGGAAACATTTGAAAAGAGAATATTTCGGGAACTGTTGGAAGTTGTAAGAGTCACTTAAGATAATTTTGATATGCACTTGGGAGCGTTCTGAAATGTCAATATTTCGGAGAAAATGCATTTACGACCATTATAAATATCGAAATATATGCCAGGTTTAATAGTTTACGTAGTTAGAATAACAGAAACATATATGCAAGTGTTTATGATGTGAGAAATTTTGGGAAATAAAATGTCCCTTATAAATAAATAATGATTTGATACGCTATCAGAGACATTCAATCGTAAGATATTGGCGACGGCTAAACCGTGCTCAAGTGACCATAATCATGCGCAGTAGTCATTTGCGCACACCTATCATAATGTACACTCACAACCTAACAACAGTGTAAGTTACCGAGCTTCGCCCCCTCCATGATAGATATGGATGCGTATTAGTCTAATGCGCAAACCTAACCTAACCTAACCCAACCTAACATCAGCGAATGGTACCCAAGGGTACCCCCTGAGATACAGTTGGATGCGCAGTAGTTCATTGCGCACACCTAAGAGTGACGTCATTTACGAAGGTGCTATTTCACCGAACGTAATACAGGACTGTCGTAACTTGGAATATAATTCGAAATATGACGTTATGTATAAAATTGAGTGTGTGGACTGTTTTTCCACCCATAATATCAATCTGTGCTCTTATATTCCGATTCTATGTTGCTACGCGACATCGTAGATTGTGTCCAAAACGCCGCTCCCACCTCACGAGTTTGCGATTCCCCCACAGTGATACAAAAGACTACTGAGTATTACATATTATGGCATTATGCTGCCCTCCAATGGCAGAACGTTATGACGAAAAATCTTTATTATCTGTGAAATCGTTCCCTCCTTTGTCGTGGATTGATACGCGACGAATAGAGTGACTGCTTGGCATATGTTTCGCCCGAATTTCCCTTCTGAATAGGAAGTAGCATATAAATTGTAGAGGAAAGTGGGAAGAAAATATTTGAAAAATTACCGCCCTGTAATGGAACTGGTATTGGAATATTTCTGTTTAAGTCATGATAAGCTGTTGGCTGCCCTGTCACTGTGACGTTAATATCCGGTGTACAACATGAAGGTAGGTTTCTTTTTTGGTATGAAGATTTGTTTATAAATAATAAGACGGTGTTATATGTGTATGTTTATATACATATATATGTTCCAGTTGTGATTAGTTATCTGCCTGAAAGTATATCTTGAAATATTTAGTGAGATAGTGCAAATGGTAGGCTTCAATGTGTATATTATCGTGGACCAAGTAATTGCGAGTTCGTCAAATTTGACGAACTTTTCCTCTGTTCCACAACGAGATCGAAGTGTTTTCCTTCTGAACCATGAAATTGAAGTATGTGTGAAGGAAGAATACACCATAAAGTACATTTATTGATTTAACGAAAGTAAGTGCATATGAGAATTGTGGGTGTGTGGTTGAAGACAATGTGTCTTTGAGGTTAATCTTGCACTATTATTAGTAATCTCGTATGAAGTATGTACTGTGGTTTGCACAAAATGTGGTTTAGTGGCTATATGAGTAGACAGTGTGTTAGATTTTATGAGTGCATATTTGGTATGATAGGAAAGAGGCTGTAGTTCTGGTATGTGGCCTCTGAATTTGGGAGGTGTGAGTAGGTTATTAGTCAGAAAAGTATACAGGGGAATTGAAAAGGTATTAGCCTATTTTATTACGCAATATTTTATTAAAGGAAAGTATTACAAAATCCAGCCAAGTCACAAGTAATCTGGTCACAATCAACTTTTATTTCCTGTCTTACAAGTGTTCAATGTGGCCACTACCTGCAGTACGATGAATATCATAGCGATAAAAGAATTCCTCCTAGGCGCATATCAGCATATCACGATGCACTGTGTTAATCGCTCTTGTTATTCGATGTTTAAGGTCATCGAATTTAGTGGGTAGCATTGGAATATAAACGTGATCTTTTACATGTCCCCACAAGAAGAAATCGCACACGGTGAGGTCTGGGGATCTCGCAGGCCAAGCACAAAGAGCAAGGTCTTGGGCCCCCTTTTGACCAATCCATCGCTGGGGCACTATTTCATTTAAAAAAACTCGGACCATCAGGTGCCAATGGGGCGGTGCTCCATCTTGTTGAAAAATGAAGTCATGCGAATCTGCTTGCAGTGAAGTGAAGAGCCAGTTTTGGAGCATATCGAGATAAGTTTGTCCTGTAACGGTGTTTCCTTCAAAGAAAATGGGACCATAAACCTTGTCCTGAGACACAGCACAGAAGACATTCACCTTGGGGGAACCTCTTTCGTGCTCAACTGTTTCATGTGGGTGCTCTGTTCCCGAAATACGCACATTGTGACGACTGACTGTGCCGCTCAAGTGAAGAGTCGCCTCATCACTAAAAATTACACGCGAAATGAAGGTTTCGTCTTCCATCATCTCCAGCATCGAATCGCAAAATTCCATCCGCTTCCTTTTGTCATTGGTAAATGTCTGAACGAGCTGCAGTCTGTATGGTTTCAAATGTAGACGTACTGTTAGGTCACGCCAGACAGTGGATTGAGGGATCGCAAGCTCCCGGCTAGCTCGATCTGTTGCAGCCATTCACAACTTAGATAACTCCACTTTCAAATGGTCACTGACTCATTCCATGACGATGCTTGAGAACTGAAGCAATGCGTCATGAAATTGGTTCATTTTTTTAATAACCCTGTATATTTCATACAGTACAGTTCGCAACTAGAATAACTGAGACCAAAAGCTCAACAATTGGAAATATTTTTATAGATAAGGCAAGGGTAAATTCATATGGAGTAATCTCTATTAGTAATGGACTATCATATCACGATGCTCAGTGTCTACTACTGAAAAATATAAATTTCCAGAGAAGAAAAAAGTGCAGGGAATCACAAGAAGGTTAGTAAATGAAGACTCAATTGCTCAATTTCTTAATAAACTATCTAATGAAAAATGGGAAAATATATATAAACATAATGATGTAAATGAAATATTCAACTCATTTTTAAACAAGTATTTACTTGTCTATGAGTAATGCTTTCCAAAGCAAAATGTAACAAATAAATTCAAGGATAATAGCTGGTATACGTACCTCCTGTAGACGGAAGGAATCTTTGTTCATTCTCTGTAGAAACAATTACAACTATTTGTTTAAATCATACTATAACTCCTACTGCATGATATTAAGAAGAGTAATAAGAGAAGCTAAGAGGAAATGTTATAAACAGTTAATTACATCAGCCAAAAACAAAATAAAAACTATGCAACTCTCTATTGACCATCACAACACAACAAACAGAATAAAATAAAAATAAAAACTACCTGGAACATTATCAACACTGAAACAGGTAGGATTAACAATCAGAATAAAGAACATCTACCTCAGACTTCTCAAAATAATAGTAAAAAATAAATACTGAAGAAGCAGCTCATTGTTTTAATAAATATTTCACATCAGTAACAGAAGATCTTAATATTAAGAAAACTAATGTATATACTGCAATGTCATATTTGTATTCCCATTTCTCAAATGGTATTCCAGATACGAATCTTAATTTAGTTGCAGAAGAAGGAATAATTAGTATAATTAGCAAATCAAAATCTCTTCAGGGTGTGATGGTGTAACAAAATTATAAAACTGTGCAAACAACAAATTGGTAAACCTCTAACTTATGTAATTAATAAGTCATTAACCATGGGTCTATATCCAGAAAGATTAAAATGTGCAATTATTAAGCCAGTATACAAAAAAGGGGAAAAGGATGTTATAAGTAACTACAAGCCAATATCTATAGTACAAGGATTTGCAAAAGTTTTTGAAACAGCAATTTTTAGAAGACTCAATGATCATATCATAAAACATAAAATATTACTTTCATAGCAGTATGGATTCCAAAAGGGAGTATCAACCAAAGATGCAGAAGTGTCCAGGGAAAATGAGGTAGAAAAAATGGGACTCTTTTTATAGCATTTTTAACTATATTTAATATAGCCTGTCCCAATATAAGGAGAAATACAATAAGTACGTCAAAAAGCCCCTGGATTAAAAAAAGATGCTGTAATAGCGAGAACAAAACTAAAGGATTTGTACAGCCTTTATATGCAAAATAAGACTCAGGAACATAGAAATATCTATAAAGCATATAAAAAGGAATATAATGTAATATTAAAAAATACAAAAGCAAACTACATTCAAAATATTATAACCAGATCAAATAACACTTCAAAAATATTGTGGGAATTTGTTAATAGAGAAAGAGGCTTACCAAAAAATACTCACACTAGTAATATACGCTTACAAGATGGAAATGAAATAGTCTCAAGTCCGAGTAGAACATGTAACATATTTAACAAAACCTTCATAGAAACTGTAAATAAAATTATACTTGACAAAAATTATAACATCCACAAACTAGTAATAACAATACAAGCATAAAAGATTCACTTGTCCTATTAGAAATAACAGAGACTCAATTGATTAAAGTAATTCAGGGCATGAAGAATAAAAAATCAACAGGACTTGATGACATCTCACCATATCTGCTAAAAAAATGTACACCTTACATAATAAAGCCAATCTTAGAATTGATCAATGCATCAATCAGAGAAGGCATCTTCCCTTCTAAACTAAAAAAATCAGTAATCCAATCAGTCTACAAAAACGGGATAAAGGAGATGGAAATAACTATCGTCCAATTACTCTTGTACCTGCCCTTTCAAAAGTTCTCGAAACTCTAATAGTTAACCAGTTAATAGCATTATTAGAAAAACACAATATACTTAATAAATGTCAGTTTGGATTTAGGAAAAATAATGATGCAACTGCCACAATTATTGAAAACATAATAGAAAGTTTGAATGATAAAATAAAATGCCACTGTGTACTATTAGACTTACCAAAAGCATTTGACTGTATTCAACATAACATTCTCATGGATTATACAAATATGGAGTTCATGGTATACCTCATCAGCTAATCAAATCCTATCTCAGAAATAGAACTCAACACATAAAAGTGCCACACACAGAAGGCAGTCGCATGAAGGAATATTTGTCAGTTAGCCTCCCAGTGAGATAAGCAGTTCCCCAGGGATCGGTCCTTGGCCCATTACTCTTCATCATATGAATGATATCCCACATCTAACACAAGGCAGATCAATAATGTATGCTGATGGCACATCAATACTGAATGTAGGAAAAGATCAGAATGAGCTCTAAAACACGACTTCAAATAATATAGGAGTGGTAGAGCAATACTTTGAGACAAATAATTTATTTATAAATCCATCTAAAACTCACTATATTCTCTTCCAGACAAAACAATGCAGGCAGGAAAGTAATCTAAAAATACATTGGGAATTACATATTGAAAAAACCTGCAGTAGAATTAGCCATAATCTATTCATAATTAACAGGCTATCTAAAATACTCGATTTAAATGAAAGAAGAATGTATTACAGATTGATCTATCCTCATCTCTCATATGGAATAATAGTATGGGGACACAGTGCTAAAACCCTCAATAGAAGATTTTTTGTACTCCAAAAAAGGGCAGTAAGATACATTGCAGGGCTAAAACATCTGGAATCGTGCAGGCATAGCTTTAGAAATTTAAAGATACTAACAGTATACTCACTATACATACAAGAAACAATCCTATATGTAAAAAAAGTGTAACTGCACAGTGAATGAACAAATACATACATATAACACAAGAAATAATAAAGACTATCATATACAGGGTGTTTCACGACTTTTTGGCATAACTGCGGGAGGTGATTTCCTAGGTCTTTGTGATCAAAAAATTTCACATAAACATGTGGCCGATTTTGGATGGTTACGGAGTTATGACCGGTTTTTCATTCCCGTACATGCCCTCGTATGAACCGCATCTGTCAGCTGTCGGGTCGCTATTTTTAGCCAGCTACAGACATAGCGTTCTCATTATCTCGACACTTGAGATGTACCTAAAGCAGGGTGGGTTGGTATGTCCGGTGTGGTTCACAACCGAGTGGCAGCCTGTGTTGCAGCCGGTGGTGGCATTTCCAAAAATCAGCTTTAAGCACCAGTAAATTCAAATTAAAGGTAATTTCACGAAGTTAACTTTACATTTGTTACACCTCAGGGGGAGGGGGTGAGAAATTATGATTACTTTGGTCTGTCGCTACTCTTTTTCTAAAATCTTCGCTGCACTCGGCTGCCGTCGGCTGTCTTGGTTATGGTCGCTCGGGATCGGTCGTGGACGGGATGGTTACGAACGGGTGAATCAAAACTCCCTGCATACATCTTATCCTATGTACACTGATCTATTTACATTAATATTTACATTAAGAAAAGGGCCTGCTTTGGCCTGTTGACATGACACTTCTCGCTACTCTCTCTCTCTTTGTTATTTCCCTCTGGGGGTGGGAGGTACCCTGAAACTGTAGTTCTTTCATCGCCTGTCACTCTCTACTCGATTACTACCCTATTCGACCCTGGCTCTCGCTGGGGGTAACTGGAGATTGCACCTTGAAATCACTCAACAACACTATTAAACAACATGGCTGTTATGCGTAAAGAGACTTACTTGCAATAAGTAGGTAGATGACTGTCGCCATCCCCCATCTCGTAGCACACATGTCGGCGAGGGCCTCCGGCTGACAACTCAATATTCTGTTTAAGATCAGATTCCCAAGTCTCTCGAAATTCAGTAATTTATAGTTTTAATTTGCTAATTCAGCTGTTGATGACAGAGGGTAGTTAACTCATCCTCAGTGTCCTCAATTCCCAAAGTAATATTCTCATTGGATATTCTAGATGGCTGGGGGTGGACCCACGGTATCTTATTGCTGCGTATT